AAATGCTCCTGCTCCTGCCTGGTAGAGGGTGAGGTGATGCAAGAGGATGTTTGTGTCTCCATGTTTTGTATGAGTTTGTATCTGTTTGTTCACTTGTGTAAACTTATCTTGCAACTTCATGGGTGATAAAGGGAGAATTTCATATCAATTGCATCTTTTGACAGCCAGGTCAGACTTGAAGCTTAGCACTCTACCATTAACTTGCATTCAATGTACAATGAACAGAACTAATCTGGGGAGAAAATTTAAGCAATGAGTATTTGGGGGGAAAAAAGAAAGCCTCTGTTCAAGGTATGTTTTGGGAAGATAATGGGTGTTTGTAAAAGCAGGATGGAAGGGTGAACAGGGAAAAACCGATCTGAAACAGTTTGGAACAGTGTGTCTGGTGCAATTTGTTCCAAATAACTCTCTGAAAGCTAGAGGAGTGGAGGGAGTTGACTGAAAGTCGTTTCGTTTGATGCGAGTACTGGCAGAAACTAGATCTCTTTAATCGGAAACAGATACTGCCCAAAACACAGTGAACTTGGCTTGCTGCCTCCATGCTAGCTCTGAGTGTGCTGCTGGTTGTGGAGGTCAGTGTGCATTGAAAGCTGTGCTTCTGGGAACAAAACCAGCTTTGAATGTCTTTATTTCTATTCATGCAAATATCTCACAGTGCTTTTCCTGGTGTCCTTTACAAAACCAGTAGCGAGGCACTTCCATGAGGCAACGCCATTTCAAACCTGTGACAAACCCCTTTTCAGTAGATGCCAATGGGTGTTCTGCATGTCGGAAAAGGTTACAATATTAGCATGGGGTTGTGTAGTTTACCATTTCAAGGAATTCTAAAACCTCATGTGGGTTTGTAATGCCCCTGGGGTGGAAAGTAGTTTGCTGCAACAGACCAATGGGAGCTTTCAAAATCTCCGTGTGGGTTGGTCACTCCATAAACATAGCAGAAGTTATCTCCGTGTCCTCTCTGAGAAGGTGGATTTGAGAGGATTCATGGGGTCATGGCTGTCAGCACGTGGGAGAGAAAATGGCACTTGTCAGTGGTGTGAATAGGAGCACTGAAGGAGGGAGGATGGCACATTGGCTCTGCCACACTGGCAGTCCTCCTTTCCCCATGCGCTCCCAATGGCCACCGGGGCAGTGCCTGCTGTGCGGTATCAGGGCAAATGGAAGGATGAGCTCCTACCCCCTTCAGGACAGGGGACACAAAAGCTGTCGGTAGTGGTGTTGATCCTTCCACGTGTCCCATTGTATCGGTTCTGGAGAACCTCAGAAGGAGGGTCCTTGTAACAAGGTGATTAAATCAGCTAAGTTTCTGCTAATCCTGCTCTGAAAAGCTCTCTGACCTGTGTTATCACCCATGCCAAGTCTTAGTAACTCACACAGACCCCTTGACGGGTGCTTACCTTGTACTGCTCTGGTGGTGCTGAAGTGCCCTGGGCAGGACTATAAATCTAACCTGTCAAAATGTGGAATATCTGAGTCCTTCTCTAAAACTGAAAGACTAAAACAAAATGCAGGGTCCTGGATGGTAAAACCGATACTAAAATTTGTAGCGCTTATTTCCCTTCCCAAGAGGAAATAAAGTCACTAACATGTGTGGAAGTAGGCTGTATTTCATTAAAAGCCAGTTTCAGGTACATCCAGCAGCATAAAAATAGGAAAACTGAATTTGCACGTTCAGTGTGTGGTTTATGTATTACAAAATCAGTGTTATTTACGGTGTCTGAAGTGTTACATAAACACTAATTTTAACAGGTGTATGGAGGAGGAACTTACTTAGCTTTTTCCTGCTCGGCTGAGTGTTCCACTCCTATTCATAAATGCTGAATAGCTGCATTACTGCTTAAAATAATTCTCAAAAATGGAGCCAGACTT